CTGGCGCTGGCAGTGCAGCACTGTGCCAGGCTCCACCATCCCAGTGGGTATGGCTGGGCTGGGAGGCTCCTCTGTAGCGCCAGGGACGGGGGGAGGGGTGGGCATGGGGACTGCCCTCATGCTAGCCATCCCCCTCTTCCCTTTTTCATTGTTAAACCTGTACCAGCACTGCTTTTGCTTAAATATCTACTTCAAACAGTTCCCCAACAGCAGCTGGATCTAGGGAAGCCTGAGGCAGAAGCCCCTGTTGTATTGCTGTTGGGTTGTTTTCCAAGGCTGTGGTTGCCTGGCTGTCGGTGTCTGCGGCGGTGTGTCTCCGCTCCTCTGAAGGAGGTGAGGTAACTGAAGGAGATCTCCTCTAGAATACTTTGCAGTGCAGTTCGAACGTGATCTCTTCTTATAACTTGGTTCTTGAATCCAAATGGTTCTTTGATTGTCATGCTGTGGCAGGTGGTGGATGTGTGCTGGGGTCTTTGGGTAGAGAAGTATGGGAGCATATCTTCTGCTGATATTGCCATGAAAGCCCCAGGGTCTGTTAGGGAGACTGGAGACTGCTCCTTCCCCCAGTGATAGTTCCTTTGTGCAGGACAAAATTAACTTGGAAATGAAGCTTCTGGGTGCTTCAGAAGTTTGGCTGAAGCTGCATCTCCATGGAATGTATCTGTTCCTGGCATTTGTGAATGTTTTTGGCAGCGGGATGGACGGGTTTCAGAGGAACAGACTAGAGGAAATTCAGTATCTTTCCAAAAAAGGGAGCGTTGTCTATAGTTCTCTAAAAAGCACTTGGGGAACAGACTGAGGCAGCCATAAAGTTGATGGGGCTCAGCCAGCCCCATTACTAGGAAACGTAAATGTTCTTTCAGTCATGATGATAGCTTGTTCCTAAAAGTGGGAGCTAGGGCAGCATGTCTGTGTGCTCATGTAATCTCAGCTGTATTATTCTCCATTCATTCACCTGTTGTCCTCACACCGCTGGCTATCTTGTTAAATGGTTTTGTGGCTGCAGTTTGATCCTCACTGACTTATCATTGGCACAATTTATTTGATTATATTAGTGTCAGAACTGATGGCTCTGGCAGTCTTTTCATTTACTGAGATTTAATCCATCATTTTACTTTAAAAAAAAAAATCGGTCATAGGTATTTGTCGGGAAGTTGTTAGGTAGGTTTTTTTTTTTTTTTTAAATATAAGGGTCACTGGGGTCACTGGTGGCAGCTCTGAGTAAAACATCATGCCTGCTGTATGATTAAGCACTTAAACAGGTGCCCAAGATCTCCATCCTTGGCGATGCTCAAAGTTCAACTGAATGCGGCCCAGAGCAGCCTGATCTAACTTTGAAGGTGGCCCCTTCTCTGAGTAGGGTATTGGACTAGAGACCTCTACACACCATTCCAGCCGTGTTTTCCTGTGACTCTCTTATACATTTTGTACATTATGAACCAGCAGAGGACCTTGGTCATTGAGCAACCAAGTCTATCATTTGCAAGGATCACAGAGTTCCTTTCTCTGGTGCATAACCCATCAGATGAGGCCTGCTGGATGGAGCCGTGTCAGATAGGATGCAGACTTTCAACAGCAGTCTTCAACTGACATAAACGATTTATTAGGATGCTGCATTAGGCTTGATTTTTCTGCAGGGAACATGGTTTAAAATATTAGCTGCACACGTGGGGCAACTGTGAGGATATTCAGATCTCAAATCTGTAAGCCTACAGAGCTTATTGCCTTGCTGTGTTTTTCTGCAACTGTTATTTGTTGACTATGGCTTCAAATGCCCCAGTTGTTGCTATTTATTCAGTACGAGCACAGAGTATATTTATTTGTCAACCAAAAGGATGTAGTATTGCTCCTTGGCTGCTAGTCAACCTGATTTAGGAATAAAAAAGGAAGAAAACAGATGTATAGACGTCATCTGAGCCCAGGAAGGGATGGAGTGATGACCAGAGCAGTGATAGTGGCTGGGAAAGTTTGAAAGTTTGAATGGTTTTAGTCATATGCCAGGCCTGAACTTATTCCTCATTTTTTGTTTGCTGCAGGTTCTGCAGTAGTGATAGTATAGTTGGGATCTGCTGTTACTCGTTTGCCTAGTGAGTTTCCTGCTTCATTTCAGTTCTGCATATAAATATTTCCCAGAAGAGATGAAAAAAGGACCAGAAAGTGTAACATGTCCCCTGGATGGAATTCCAAGCAAGTTAGCAGAGTCAGATCTGGACAGTAACAGCAGCAATGGAGCCTCAGCAAAAGAGAAAGACATGCTGTCCGCTCCTGAAGAACTGGAAACTGTACAGCTGAAAGCCAGTAGAGAAAAACCCAGAAAAAAACTCTGTGGCTATTTAAATAAACTGGGCATCAAGGGGCCAATCAAGACTTGGAAGTCTCGCTGGTTCTTTTACGATGAAAACAAATGTCACTTAGCATACTTCAGAACTGCACAGGATGTCAACCCTTTGGGGACTATTGATCTCTCCAATGCCAGCCTTGACTGCAAGTTAGAAAACGGGGAAGGGATTTTTGAGATCAGAACACCAAACAGAGTTTTTACTTTGAAGGTAAGGGGCAACATCTTCTTTTGGGAGCTGTTATGAAACATTCTCAGTTAGGGTGGACAAGTCTCTGCTAAGATAACTCTGCTTGACTTTCACTTCAGTGCCAGGCTTGACTGTTACCTTTTGGCCCTAACTTGCTTGCACTGCTTTCAAGACAGGAACGCCACTTGCTGTGAAAAGATTGTTTTTTAACACAGTGGGATTAAAAGCTGAATTGGGTGCTGAATTAAAATAATGCAGGAGTCCTGCAATCCGCATGTGCCTTGCTGAACAGAACTGAGTTTCCCTTTATCAAATGATTGCTCCCGCAGGAACCTTTGCTAGGTATTTATCTCTGAAAGTATCTGTTAAGAAGGCTCCATGAGTGATTCTCAGCTAAAGTAATCCTGCCATTTTCTCTTAGCCTTGGAGCATTTTAATCCTGTCATGCCTATGCTGTATAGTAAACCACAAAAATGTTAAGATCAGGTCAGCTGCCCACTGAGGTCCTGTGACTGAAGACCACGCTGAAGATTTACTCCACTCTCCCAAATCAGAGTTAGGATCAGAAGATACAGCATAGGCATGACACAGCTGGGCCTTTATTTCTGCTGACTGGGGCAGCAGAGTTATGATCAGCCCTTCGGGACGTGTCTTGTGCTGATGAGATCTCCCTCCTTCTCCTTCCTGTTTTGTGTTATGTTAGGCAATCAGCAAACAGGCAATGATGTACTGGCTGCAGCAGCTACAATTGAGACGCTGGGAATTTTGCAATGCTCAGAGTAGATTTCCTGTGGGCAGCTTCCAGCTTGTGAATGAACCACTGCTTGGCAGAACAAGTAGGTGCCTATGTCAGCCTTTCTTTTGCTTTCAGCCCCCAGTCATGCATGGTGTACCTCATCAGTAAGCGGGCAGAGGTACTGGCCAGGATTTTTAATGCAGGTGCCAGTTATCAGTGTAGGTATTGATACGTGGAACTTCTGGCTTTATTATGGATGCCAGGCCTGCGAAGCTTACTGCAAACAAGTTATTTCGTGGGGATGTACGTTCCTAGAAATGTGAGTACGCACAGTGGTGGTTCAGTGCATGGTACGGATGGGGTATCTGCCTGTTGAGCTATGGCCAGGTGCACGTTTTCTTTGAAACAAACAAAAACCCCCTAAGAAGTGGCTTCTTTAACTAAAGTTCTGATTATCTTGGCATTCCACTATGGTAGGCAATAATACGTCCATAAAATCTGTTTGTGGGAGTGTGATATACACATTAAAACTCTCAGAAACTGCTTGGGAAGCAGGGATAGGAGCAGCAACAGCTCTCTTCCTTCTTCCTTTAGGAGGTTAAAGTTTAGATTTAGTCATTGTAACACGCAAATGGTTGCAGTCACTGCACTGTTCCTGAAGAGATGAACGCATTTGTACATAGAACCTTCTGTAATTTGACCCAGAAATAAGAAAACCTGATCTGCTGTCATTGTTCCACCTGGCCCATTGTACGCTGAACTTCGACCTGTAAGGAAATGTGGCTTCTAAGTCATAGGAAGTAGCCTAAATCCAATGGAAGTCTGTGTTGCTCACTTGCTTTTGTGTCCTGGTTCATTTTTCTGTAGATGTTGTCGACAGTGAAGACTTTCTGCCTCCAGTCAAGACACCAACAGAAGCGGTGGGTTTAAAAGCAGCCTCTTTGCCTGCACCCCAGACATCTACTGCTTTGCAGAACATCTCCCTTAAGCATCCCTGGACAGAGATACAGTAAGTACACAAGGTGAACTGCAGTGCAGCTGACATGTTCCCCTGCCACTTTGTGCCTTCCTCTCCTGTCATTTGTGTTGTGTGAAATGAGACATTTGCCTAGGTGGAAGAACCATGCGGCTGTATGGAGGTTATTCCACGTGAATGTAAACTTCCTACAGGAAGCTCTGTCATGTTCCCCTGTTTCAATCTATTTCACATCATCTAGCCCCCTTGGCAAAGATCCTAGCAGCAGGCCTAGAGCTTGGTTAAGCTTTCTTCAATACCGGTGGTGATCTGCATGCATACTATGGTGTGGCTGCACATCACTTTTAGAAGGGCACGTGGACAGGTTCAGGTGTACTCTGCAGGCTAGTGGTAGAAGTCCGTTAACTCTTTCCACTGGTTTCAAAGGACCTTGAACGTAGTGCACTCCACAAAGCAGACACTCCAGGCACAAGGGCCTTTAGCCCTGATACTACACTACTTATTATGCTAAGAGCTGAGCTTCAAGCATCTGAACAGCCTCACTGACTCCGATGGTACCCTCTGGGCACTTGTAACGTTTGACATGACTGGGGTCACAACTTACAAGACTTTATCAGTTTCAGTTGCACAAAGACTACCCCAGTTAGTATCTCCTTACATCTATCCCAGGCAGTTATTTACATATAACTCTTAGGCATGTAAGTGGTCACAGGTATGGTAGCCTGGTACCGGTCACATGCTTTTGGAGGAGTGTTATTTTCTTGTTTTGTACCGCCACTGCTTAGGCTTTGGGCTGATGATAGGAAGAAAGATCCTGCAAGGGACTGAAGAGGATCACAGCCAGGTGTATTATCTTGCAGGCTATGCATTCTTTCCTCCTCCTGCTCCTCGCTTTGTTTAAAGACACTATAACCGTATCTCCTCTTTAGCCTTTCTTTTGCCAGCTTGAATAACATTTGCCTCTTCACTTTCAAATTGTACGGCACACCTGGATCTGTGAACATATGTGAAGGCTCTATCACTGTCATGATTGGGTTTTCATGAGTGTAATTTGTTGGATTCTCATTAAGTTCTTCTGATCCCTGAGTTGCTGCCGCCTCAAAGGAAAGGCGGTGTAGCATGTGGTGGTGAAAGGGAGGAAAGGTGCGTTGGCTGACTGCCCACTGCAGACTACAGGGAATGGAGGTCTGCTGATTTCGTGAGCCAGTAGGTTCCCTGCGGTCAGAAATGGCTCCTTTTCCGCTGCAGAGTCCCGCAGTAACAAGGGAACAGGAGAACAATATCTAAACACCAGCATTGTTTACAGTCAGGAAGTAGCTGACAACAAGCCTTTTCCAGAAATCAAAACAAGGGGCTTGTTTTCTTTTAGCTGATAGAGGACGCTAGAGGGGAAGGGAAAAGACTTGAAGAGAAATAGGCAACAGTCTTGCTTTCTTGTAGAAGTTGTGCAGAAAACACTCACATATTGGTGGTTCTACATGATCCTGACAATATGTGAAAGCAGCAGCTGTAAAAGTCTGTGATGGACTGATTCTAATCAGCTACACTCCTTTCCTGATTCTGGGTCTGATTGTAGTTCTGTTCCTGAATCTCTCTACTGCATCAAAGTCTACTGAGCTTGTTGTGGCATGTGATGCAGGGTACAGGACGTGTGGTGGCTTCACGTGTGATCATTGTGGCAGTTTTGACTGTGTTGTAGAGAGCTGGGCTTTTGTTGGTACCTAAGGATTTCAGCAGTGACCTAAGGAAAGGGAGGAAAGGAGTGTGGCTGACTGGCTGATCTGCTGTTACCTTTGAGGCCTCTGTCCAACTTGGTATCTTCATGTCAGGGCCCAAGGACCGGTGGGAAGATCACCAGCTGATTCACATTTCTACGCTGGTGCTGATTTTGTGGCACCTTCTTGGTTTATACCAGTGAAGACCTTGCTCCTCTCAACTCCAACAATTCAATGAACAGTTCAGTTTCTTAGCACCTAGAAGAGATGGGTTTTGGGAGGAGGGGTGGGGAATTTTCTTCTACTGAGAAACAATGCACAGATAGTCCTAGTCCACTGAGCACAGACCCCTGGCAAAGCAGAAAGTTCAGTGAGGCACTGAGTAGTCTGAAGTTGCTGTCTGCAGTGATCGTGACTTCTCCTATTCACTAGGCTGTCTTTGATTTCTTGTTGTTTCAGAAACACAGTCTACAATATCTGTGGCTCCAAGCAGCTCTGGGGGAACAATGGGAATGTCTTTAGTTTTGATGAATTCCAGGAGCATCCTGAGAACCTGGATGAAGAGCAAGAGGCAGAGATGGAGGCAGGGTGTGAAGGTGCCTATGAGCGCTCTGTGTGAGGTGTTCTGAGTAGAAACCCTTCTAGCGGGGCATGAGGCGTAGCAGGAAAAGGAGAGAGGAGGTGGCAAGTCCTCTTGGGACATGAAAAACCTTATCATGTTGTCTCAGGGTCCCTTCCTTTGTTGCTTAGACAGAAATGACACTTTGGACTCTGCTTCAGGCTGGATCTGTCATGTCTCCTATCTCTAGAACCTCCAGCAGAGGGAAAAATGGCACCCAAGGTGCCAGCCCATACTGGTATTTCTTTGAAGTAGAAGTTAAATTGATGCACAGTCACCTCCTCTTCAACCCTTTCTTTCCAACCCAGCATGCGGTGGAGCTGCTGGGTTCAGCCTCTGCTCTCCACTGATGGTAATTTGCGTTTGCTGTGTGTAAGACACATAGGTGGGTTGCAGGGTGGGTAGACAGTTGCCATAAAATACCACAACCTTGTGTATTCTGGGGGTACTTGCGGTTATTCCTTACTGTCTATGCTCTAGCCCTGTGGATCCCAGCAGGTCAGTTTTCCTTGTCCTGTGTCTTGTGGGGTGGGTGTGGTGTGCCCCCCCCCCCCCCCATAGGAAGACACAGGATGCCATAGTAGCAACCCAGTTCTGTGTAAATCACCCTTCTCCCGTTCAGTTAAGCAGGGAACTCCAGAGGATGGGAGGACAGAGCCCAGGTTGAACTGGGCTAGGAAAGCCAAGTGGATGAACAGTGGTTTCCCAGGCTTGGCTGAAGAGTTGCACCGGGAGGGGAGCCCAATGGATAAAGTGGGCGTCCTGCAGCAACAGATCCTGACACTCACAGAAGAAGTCAAGTCACAAAAGGTGAGTGTGGCCTGGGGAACCTGCTGCTTCTAAGGACAGGACCTTGAAACTGCTCACAGGGACTCCCTAGACTTTGCTGTTAGGCTGAGAAGTGCTTAGCAGGCACTCACTAGGGCAGGGGGAATGGCAGTTGAAGCCCCTGGTGTTACCGCATTGTACATGGAGCTGTCCTGCCTGACTGTGTGCAGCGCAAGGGAGAATGGAAAGTTTGCTTCGGCTGTTGCTAGGAAGCACATCCAGCAGACAGGCTGGAAGAGGGAGGAAGAGCAAATCCAAGTGCAAGTTTCATGCTGGAGCAACTCTACTACTTGGAGGGTGGCTTAAGTGCACCCTCCCGGGCTGTTACAGCGATGCTGTCAGAAATATCTGTTTGAGTTATGCTAGTTGCAGCAGATCATGCGTTTCTGAACAGTGCTCCACCATTAAGAGATGATTTGACTGCAGAAGCCTCACACTGTTCCCTGCAAGGGCTATCTCTCCTGAATGGTGCTGTTTTTCTCTGGAAGCATATAGCAATGGAAGGCTCCCCAATAATCATGAGGGTAACTCTTCCAGCAGAAGAAACAGGAGATCCGGGCCCCAGGAAGGGTAATCAGTTGCATTCTGGTTTTGCTCCCTTAAATGGCTGAGATTAAATGAGCAGCCTGGTGCTGGGGCAAGTTGTTATGCTTTCGTGTGGGATGGAGCGAGGAAGGAGTCTGGCAGAGGGAAAGTTAAAAAGGATACAACAGTTTCTAACTGGTAGCGCAGAGAGATGCATGTAGATTCCCCTCCCTCCCATTCTGCCATACTGCTGATCAGATCTCCAGATTCTTTGATCTCTGCTCGCCTCACAGGACAGATGACTGTAGAAAGCCAGAAGTCAGGCAGTGTGAGCAGCAGCTCCCCCATTAGCAATCTGCCTAAGGTTAAGTTAGGCACGTATTGCCTGCTGCAGAGCTTCTCTAGCAGGGCCAGCTCTGACAGCAAAGCTTCTCTAGCAGGTAAGCGCAGTGATTCAGTTTTGCTTCTGAAAGGAGTCAGTGTCTAGATCCGGAGGATCTTCAGCTGTTTTCTTTCACTTACCGTCAGTGGAGTCTGTGTTGCCAGTGTCCTGCGCAGCACTGTGATGTGATAGCTTTGTGTTCCCTTCCCAGGAGCTGGTTAAACTTCTCCACAAAGCTCTGGAGGCAGCCCAACAGGAGAAGCGAGTGTCCAGCATGTACCTCACTGCAGCAGAGGATAAGGACAGACTGGAGCTGGTGCGCCACAAAGTGAGGCAAATTGCAGATCTAACCACTCGGTTGGAAGCTCTTGAGAAAGAAAAGAAAGAACTGGAGCAGACAGTGATCATGAGAGAGAGCCACATCCAGGAACTCAAAGAGCACGTGCAGCTTTTGATGGAAAAGAACCATGCCAAACAGCAAGTCATCATGGCCTTGACGGAGCAGATGGCCCGAGAGCTCTCTGATCCCCTGCAGGAAACCAACGCTATCACCGTAGAAACGTTGTATAAACAGCAGGAGGAAATTGAGCACTTGAAGGTGTGTGGAGATGGCACAGGTCACTCGGCTCCCATTTCTGTACTCTGTGGTTCAGTGAGAGGGTGTTCCTTCTGGGAAGCATGGAACGTGTTTCTGCTAGTTGTGCCATGTGTCTCCAAATCAAGGGTAGGCTGGAAGGGGCTGGCCTGATACCAATGGGGTGCTGAAAAGCATCTAGGACAGTATCAGCTTTAGCCCAGGGTCTGTTTTGTTTGACTCAGTCTCATCATTCAGTGCCTCTGTTCACTCTTGTTTTGTTTCACAGCTGCAGTCTCACTTGCTGCCTTGTCTGTCTCTGTTCCTGTGCTTCCCACTTGTAAACAGTTTCCCAGCACACCATGTTTCTTTCAAATCCAGCCTGTTTTGCTGCCACCATATGCACAGTTATAATGGACAACTAGCATGAGGGGGAGAATTGCCAGAGGAGCCGCTTGTTGTGTTATGGGAGAGAGTTTACTGCCAGCTGTGGGGCTGAGATTCACATCAGATCTTAGAAAATAGAACAAAACATAAATATTTTTTCATGTTATTTAGGTGCTTTTGTAGCTTTATAAATACATATAGCATCTCGCTGTGTTTTCTAAGTGTGTATAAGAGCTGCACGAAACATATTCCACTTATCTTCTCTATGCGTGCCACATTTAGCGTTGTGCTTTGACTTCCTTCGGAGGCAGTATTTGTCCTGGGGAGACATGCCTTCTCCCCAGAACGTGAAATTGCTGAGATATTTTCTTGTCCATAACGCACTCCATGCCTGACATGCCTCTTGGAATTTAAAATCTGAACTGGAAGGGGATTCCAAGCCTCTGAAGAACTCCTCTTATGGGACTGTTCTGCTTTGTGGCAGGATGATATTGATGCATACAAAACCCAGAACCAGTTTCTGAACTCGGAGATCCACCAGGTTACTCGACTCTGGACTAGTGTTGCTGAGAATGAGAAAGCACTTCTGATGAAGGTGAGGCACAATGACTCTTTTTTCTTTGGAAGGAGCTGAACGTTACCGATGTAATACTTTCCAAGCAGGGAGTGAAAAGGGCTTTGATCTGAAACACACTAGGAAAAAGCTTTCTTCCCAAAATTGTTCTTCACTTTGTCCCTTTCTCTGCAATACGCTGTTCCCAAATTAGATATGAAAATTTTCATTCTTCAGTAAAACTAAAATACCTGAAAAACTCGGTCTTAGGGATGGTGAAACAAACCCCAACCTTCTGGATGTCAGCTGCGGGTTTGGATAAAAGTAAAATAGCAACACTATGGCTTAGGGAATCAGAAATGTTTCCTAGGAGCTGCCAGGCTGATTTGAGCCCTGGCTCCGTCCGGTGTAGGTTTCTCTACCAGGCCTGGCACTATCAGGTGGCAGCACTCACAGGCTCTGCATCTAGTTCACAGTTCATATGTTTTATTATGCTCTGCTGTTATTTCTAACTTTGTAAGTGTGCATAACCTGGGTACCCTCAAACTTGTCTAATCTTTGTCCTGAGGTGTGCTACTTTCTGGTCCCGAAACACTTCCCTAGGTTGGTGGTGTGTGCTGGCATTCATTCTGTGGGTTTTCCTTGGGTTGTCCCTCCTGGATTTCAGGGGATATCGCTACAGTTCTGGATTCTGGACCAGGGCAAATTGCTGTTTCTGAAGTATTACTGCAGTTCTTACATATCTTTGCTTCCTAGTCCTCTGAAACCTTCTATACTCCCAGCTGTACTTACTGTCCTTCTCTGAGCCCACAGCTGCTGTAATCTTCAGAAGGGAACTAATTAGATCAACGTGCTAAATGTGAGGCAAAACCCTGACTAACGTGGTAGCACTACAGTATCCCACGCTCCTTTTTGTCCCCTCCATATGCAGCCTAATACCTTCTGTGATTTCTCTTTTGCTTTTGTTTCCAACTGTTGCTTCACACTGAGCAGGAGACTTCATTGTGCTTCCTGTGAGACGCTGGGTGAGTCCTATCACCTGTGTGGCTGCAATGCCCCAGTTGTGGAGTGGGGATTATAATCCTTCCCACTGCTTTGTTACTTCCTTTGGGTAGCCCAAGAGTGTGGTGGTGACAGGGGCACTAGCAGAGGGCTCTGCTTGAACTCTGTGGGGCCTCCTGCGCTTGAGAAGTGTTGTATACAAGGACCGTAGGATGAGTGTTGCCGAGAGGCATTTGTCCATGTTGTCTTGGTGCTACTGTGTGTCCTGGAAATGGCATGATCCCAGCTCTGTCCCTGCAGCAATGTGTTTAGGCAGGATAGAGCTCAGCATGGGGTAGAGAACTTGTTTGAGGGGCAGGGGAAAAGCCTGCAGAGAACTCAGTTGGAACGACAGCCATTCATTTGTGCTGGCTGAGATATGGCCACTCACTATTGCAATGTAGTAGCTAATGTACGTGATGCTGTAGTAGTTTTCCCACTCACTAAGCAACTTCTGTTGCGTGCTCACTGCTGCAGTTTGTTTGCTCAGTGGCCTTAATCCAGGGTGGTTTGTTCATGGCTGCAATTCCCCATGCTGTACAAAACTGTTAGATGTGCTTTCCGGGGCCTTGCTGTTCAGGGGTGTTCACTTTGGATGCAGACCAGGGCTCCTGGGGGCTCTGAGGTCAGCAGCCCTAGGACCAGCGACGTGTCATTCAGAGCAGTGGGAGTCCTCAGGCCTGGATGCTGTGGTCTGGTGCGGGAGTTCAGTTGGGTGCAGTGGCAATGGAGGCATCAGTGAGCCAGCTCTGTCCCTCGTTTCTTCATCAGTGCGCTTGCCTGCAAGCCCAAAACTGCGAGATGGAGAGCAAATACCTGATGGTCTTGCGGAAGCTGCAGGAGGCTGTGCCTCTCCTGCCCAGCTCCCATGCTGAGTTGGTGAGGAACCTCATCCAGGAAGCACTCCAGTGGGATGTGAAGGAAGGAGCAGAAGAAGGTCTTAACCTGAACCCTGTAAGGTAATTGACAAGAGCATGTGGACATTTCCTCCTTTTTTAGGAGTCTAGCAGTGGAGGGGAATGTGCGGGCATGAAAGAACCAGGGGCATTTCTAGAGCAGGGACTTGAAGCCAGAAGCTATGAGAAGAGGTGAAGGGAGCTGGTTTAGTCTGCTGGAGAGGAGACTGTTGAGTGTCTGATAGCAACATATTGTTGCTGGAAGGGGCAGTTAAATATGACAGCCAAACTCTTCTTAGCAGTGGCAGAAAGTGTAACAAGAGACAACAGCCACCGAGTGCCTGGGAGGTTTACACTGGACATTAGGATAAACTGCTCCCATAGAGGGTGGTGCCACTCTGGGAGAGGTCACCTGGCAGGTGAGAGGGATCTCTAGTGCTTGGCGTTATCTAGACTGAGCCATACAAAGCCATGGTTGCCCTGATCTAGTGCTGGAAATGATTGTGTGGTGAGTAGGGAGCAAGGCTGGAGACCTCCAAGGGGCCCTGTCACCAGCCCGGCTGGGGTGCCATAGACTCTATCCTTGCATTTGTGTTTGTGCTTTCCTGCTCAAGTTAGCGTCCCAACTCTGTAGTGGTTTCCATTTACCTGATTGATCAGACCACCAACTTCTCTGAGTAGCTTTGGAGTTGAGACCCCAAGACCAGGCTTGCTGTCACTGGCAAGAATCTAGTCATGTCTTGCAGGCATGCCAGCTCATGGACTGGTGATGCATAAACCCTCAGTGAACCTTGCTGTCAGCACTCCTGGAGTTTTCTGATTAGTAGGAAGTTTTCAGTCTGTACAGGGGGACATCAAAAGGGACTGTGGGTCTCTATCCTTTGGACTGAAGCCCCAAAGTCTTTGCAATCCCTTCCTACAGAACTGTCTCTGTACTGGGTCAGGCTTGGGAGAAAGTACGCAGGTAGAGCAAGTCACTCCTTATGAGGTTAAGAGAGCAGACTGGATGAGAGAGGGACTGATGAGGTCATACTGTAGCTCAGAACAAAGTCATGCTTGAGTCAGTGCGTCTACAGCTTTGCTGCAGGCTCCCATTTGTCCTCAAGGCTCGGAGGTAATAGGCAGGCTCTCACAAATGGCTGCTGGAGAAGCAAAGGAGGAGTACCTGAGCTGTGGTGTGGGTGACAGGAGCACAGCGGGAGGCTCTGGTCGACCTGGCGCCAAGCAGCGAGTTATCCTAGATACAGGTACCAGAACTGACCTTTGAACTAACCTCTGCCTTGTAACCCTCCAGTGAGTACGATGAGTATGGATTTATGACTGTGCCTGAATATGAAGTTGAGGACTGGAAACTTCTGGCCAAAATCCAAGCCTTGGAGATAAAATCCAACAACCTGCGGAGCCAGGAGGTAGTGGAGAAGCCTCTCCGTGACAGGTGGAATAGTGTTGGAGAGCTGAGCCCCTCTGCGGAGTTGAAGAGCCTGATCCGAAGCGGCATCCCTGTGGAGCATCGCCAGCGGGTCTGGAGGTGGATTGTCAGCCGACACTGCAGCCACCCCCCTGACCACTACCAGCAGTTATTAAGGCAGAGTGAGAGCACCGAGCACCCAGCTTGCCGGCAGATTGAGCTTGACCTGCCCCGCACACTGACCAACAACAAACATTTTTCCTCTCCTACCTCCCCGCTCATCCCTAAGCTCCGGAGGGTGCTGCTGGCTTTCTCCTGGCACAATCCTGCTATTGGATACTGCCAGGGACTGAACAGGTGAGGAACGAAGTGAGCTGCTTCTGCACAGGCAGGCACTGAGAAGGTGTGGACATACACTCTGGAATTGCTCGAATCACAGCCTAGGCTCCTGTCTCTAAAGATCTGCCCTATCTCTAGGTGCTTTCTTGCAGACTTCTGCCTTTGATTTTTTTTTTTTCCACCCAGTGTTGCTGGGATTAAGGAAGCAGCAGGATGAACTTATTCAGCATCCTCATATGTAAAGGATAGGAGGGAATAGCTATGGAAGGTGGGGGTGAGGCAGTCCCAAAACAACAACATGAGGCTAGAGCCAAATTTCCAAGTTTTAATATGCTCAGGAGAAGAACATCCTGGCGATTCTACTTTTTGCGCAGAAGGAAATGTTGGGAAGTGTTAGAGATGGAGGAGTTGGAGCACATGACATATTAGGAGAGGCTGAGGAAACTGGGCTTGTTCTTCCTGGAGAAGAGAAGGTTGGGGGATCTAAACGCTTCTCCCACTTCCCAAAGGAAACTACAGAAAAGATGAAACCACACTTCTCAGGAGTGTGCAACCAAAGGAGAAGTGTCACTGGGCACTAGCGTCAGGAAAGGAAATTCTGGTTGCACATTTTCACCTGAGGAAAGTCTGTGTAGGCTATTCCTGTTACTCTTTGGATGGGCTTCAGAAAGACGTTTTCCACTTTAGAGAGTCCTTAACGTTAGATTTTAGCCTTTCAGTCTGGCTTCAGCCAGTCAGAGCTGAAGAAGTGTGTAGAAGGATGGGTGGGAAGGAGGTGACCGATGTCATGTGAAATGGACTATCACAGAGTGAGCTCTTTCCCATATTGAAATAGCCAAAAGCAGCACGTTTAGCTAACTGCAGCAGATTCAGCTCGGCAACCTTGCTTTGTCACAGCCAGACTATCACCTCTGCATGTGATGCTTCTTGGTTGCTGACAGACATTAGTGGCTCACAGGAAAGAAAATTACAGCCCCTTGGTTCCTTCAGAAACCTGCAGAATAGATTACCTGCCTCTCTGACCAGATGATATTGCCACACATGATATTTTGGACACTTCTGGAGCTAGAGACTTGCCAAGTCCCTTTGTTGGCTTGTGTCTGCTCCTGCAGTGTCATTGCCTCATCATGTTTTGTTTGTCACAGATTGGCAGCTGTTGCCCTCCTGGTGCTGGAAGATGAGGAAAGTGCATTCTGGTGCCTAGTCCACATTGTGGAGAACCTAATGCCTGCAGACTATTACAGCAACACACTGATAACATCACAGGTGAGCCAGGCACCCTCACATCTGCTTGGACTTTGATGCAGTGATTTACACTAAAGGTTTAAAAGCAGTCAGCTTGCAGTGCGTCTGATTTCTCACAGGGCAGGTGACTTCACCTTGCAGTCCTTCCCATTGTCAAGATGTGGGGGACTCTAGAGTATGCAGTTGTTGGGTAGATAAGAGCAGCAAAATTGATCCCCAGCACTAGAGGACCACTACTGAACTATCACTTGAGGGTCAGGTTAGTCAGAAGGAACTTGTACGTTAATTGCACAGTTATGCCTTGCGAGGAGGGCCCAGTAGAGGTGAAATGACAAACCCTGAAATGTACAGCGTGTAGAACCAAGCATGAACCAGGACTAGTCTGGAGCCGTTCAGGCATCTCTTTAGAAACTACACCTCAACTCTAGAGTGTCATGGGCAGATGGAAGAAAATACTGAGACTTTTTTATTCATTGCTTTTGCCTCAGTTCATGATCAAATGCAGAATTCCTTCTGGTTTTAGGGTTGTCCACAGATCACAAAGCCCTCTGGCCATCTGAGGTAGAATGTTGTTCTATGAGAAAAGTCACCCTCCTAGTGCTAACTCACTGTATTTCATAGTTTTCAAGGGGTATTGTCTTAGACTGGATAGTCCATGTCCTCTCAAGTTAGCACAAAACCAAGATAAATTCCATACAGTTCAGTGGAATTGTAATGGTGTGCCGTGCTACTGCCACCCAGCAGCGCCCAGTCTGCTGTGCCTGCCCATGACTTTGGTGTCTTTACTGCGTGTAGTGCTTTCATAGAGAAAAGGGTTACAGTTCTGGGCTCAGAATAGATGACTGGACCGCTGAATGGGTTGACTAATGTTTACTGGGACAGCGGTGTGCTGGTGGACCGATCAACTCACAGAGACCTGGGAGGCAGCCAAATCCCTGTGCAGACAGCAAAATGTCTTTGGTGCAGTGATCTGGAGCAGGTAGTGTTAGCAGTGGATTAAGAAAGCAATGCTCGATACTTGGCATATAGTGATGGCCAGGGAGAAAATGGTAAATACTTTGAGGGTTTGACTTAATCAAGTCAAAGCTCCAAGCTGGCTGAGAGAATTACGGTTTAGCTCTCACAGGTTTTAAAGACCAAAAACATCACCTCATCTGGCTTGTACAGCAGTGCCACAGCTAAACAGGCTGTCAGAGCTGGGTAGGGAAAAGGCACTAACCCTGGTCTTGCTCCTCAGCGTTTCCCCTCATGAAACCACAGCCTCCTTGAGATGAAGCCCGAGTCAAGCACCCAGCCAAAGGCGCTCTCTTGTCTTGGCCCATGCATCGAGAGGTGAAGCACAGGCAGTGCTCAGCCCTCAAGGAGAAGCTAGGTGAGAAGATTAGCTCCTGCTTGCTGACTCACGGAAGGATCCTAGATGTTTGCTCTGTTGGGCCACATGCAGCTATTCTGACCTGGGCATGCTTTTTGTCCCTGTCATTCATATGGATACTTCTGACATTGCAAAAAATCCCAGTAAGACTGATGTGGGGAGGTGCGGCAGCATTTTCTGTCTTGACTTTGAGGCTGGGAAGGAACACGATCCTCTATGTGAGAGGAACGTATCTCTGCTTGTATCTTGGCCCTGTTTCAGCTCCACGGCCTGCACTAGTGTGGTGTACAAGGGCAGTGCTCAATTCTTTTGAAGTGTTGGGAGACAAGTGATCCTCTGGCCTTCCAAGGATGTCTTTAGGAGGAAGGCAGCACCAGCGAGTGCTGTGGTATGGATGGGCCACTCTTCTGTTGCACCACTCCTCTCCTCCAACACCAGGATTGTTCTTGCCAGATGCTTCATTGTTCTCTTCTTTGTCAACTTTAGGTAGATCAGAGAGTCTTCAAAGACTTCCTGTCAGAGAAGCTGCCTCGCCTCATGGCTCATTTTGAGCAGTACCGGATTGATGTCTCCCTCATCACTTTCAATTGGTTTCTGGTGGCGTTTGTGGACAGCTTGGTCAGCGACATCCTCCTGCGAGTGTGGGATGCCTTCTTGTATGAGGGAACTAAGGTACAAACCTAAGTCTAGGCCTTCCTCCCATGCGCATCAGCCCTGTGACATGACGCCAGGGGTGACGGGCATGCACACGCATCCAAGAGGCATGGTGGTGAGCCTCTTGTTCTGTCCTGTTCAGTGGGGTGCCTCGATAACCCACAGTCCTCTGTGCTGTCTGTGTTCTTGCTGCCTGCGGGCAGACATAGTCCCTGACAGTGTGCCTGCTGTCTGGCACCATTTAGCATGGACTCCTGCTGTGAAACAGCTCTGTGACAGGCAATGGTGTCTTCTGCTCTGCAACCCATGTGCACCTCAGTGTGAAAGATGCAGGGAACAGAAGATGGGCGGGGAGTTAGCCTTACCCAAAAAGTGTGAGTCTCACATTGATCCTGTGCATATGGAGAGCTGGAAGAACCTTGTGGAAACCCTGTATGGTCCTTGTGGGGGATTTGCTATGCTCTGGGGTTGCAAAACAGCTTTCTGAGGGTCATTCCCTTGCGATCAGCTCTGTGCTTTTTTAGGCCTGCACTAGAGCAGCCTATGGACAGCGCGAGGGGCCCTACATGCAGCTTGTAGTGCGGTGATGTGCCCTCCCCCCCCCATGTTTTACATCAAGAGGGCCTGGTCCCTCCACTGCCGAATACTTTGCCCACTCAAAGGCCTTTCAATCCTCCAGGTGATTTTCCGCTATGCTCTTGCGATTTTTAAATACAATGAGGAGGAAATTCTAAGAATTCACGACAATGTGGAGATCTACCAGTACCTACGTTTTTTCACGAGGATGATCGTGGATGGCAGGTAGGACAGTGGGTTGGAGACAGATCCCCATCCCTGGACTATCCTTGCCTGTGTGTTATGTCAGCCTAAAGAGACCTGTCACCAACCCTGTAACAGAGGGCTAACATGCCTCTTCTTGACGTTCCCTTCATGCTGTTACTTAAAGCCTGTTTGGCTTGGACAAAGGCATGCTGCAGCAGAGCGGGCCACAGGATCTGGGCCAGCTTCCTTTTTGCAGCAGCTGGGGCTTGTACTGCCTTTTGTTGGATTTCTCTCGGCCGTAGCCCTCGGGGAATGTGGGAACATAGCACCTCTCACGGGCTTTAATGGCAACATGTACTTGAGAGGAAGTTGGATGTAGGGAATCTTCCTACCCATGAGGCCATCAGAATTGGCTTGCAATCCTCCATCTCCTGGCAGACGGGTGATCTCTGTGCTCCAATGTCCCTGTTATTAGAAGGTGGTGTGGCATAAGGCTGTTCTAAGTGCTGCTTGGGCCAGTGTTTAGTGTAAGAAGGAATTGCCTATGGTTCCTTTCTGCCTCTGCTGCTTGGTGACTTTTGAGCTCAGAGATCTGCAATCTGAGATCATGCTTTGCAGCATCCTGGGGTAGGGAACAGCAAGCAGCACTGGAGTGGAACGGTCTGGGAAACTGTGCTCCCATAAAACACTTGGGTATTTGGTACCACCTCTGCTAGTAAATGGATTCACCAGACCTGTCTTTTCCATCTTAGGAAGCTGATGAACATCGCTTTCAATGACTTAAATCCCTTCCCCATGAAACTGCTGAGGAACCGGCGGACAATGCACAGGGAAGAGATGGAGACAGAGCTGTGTGAGCTGGAACAGATCAAGGCAGCCTATGTAAAAGAGAGAGCACAGCAGGGTCCTCAGGACCTGGAGGAAGTTGTTAGTGAAGAGGAAGAAGAAATTTAGCCAAAAGGGAGTTCCTCATCGCTCCTCTCTCACCTCCCAGAAGGTCTCCAACAGCAACTGTCTGTAACAGAAGAAGCAGATGGGGGGAGGTGATCACAGCAGGAGTTCATCTGTCCCTGGAAGCAAGGCTATAGATAGGTATGGGACCACTTGGGGACCAAGCCAGGCTTTGTGATGGATCGGAAGGTCTCAGAGAGTTTTATCCTCTCCCACACTTCCCCTACCCAGCACGTGTTGTCCTGTGCAGTTCAGGATTCCAGCTGAAGACCCATAGGAAGCATTAATTGTGGTGCTGTGTCAGAGGTTCACATGGTGCAAATGACTTGGCGTGCCAGGCAGGGCTTTTACACCTTTTCTAACGGAGGCTTGAAAGAGATCTTTATGTACAGGTAAAATCATTAGAAATATTGAACCAAGAGCATGCACTTAATGGTGCCTAAAGCTTCTGAACTGGTTAGGGGGAGAGCCTGCTTTTTGAATGCGTGGTGCCTTTTTTGGCTAGTCTGCCAGGACACTGTGTTTAACACTGAAGTTACTGTCTGAGTCATGCCATATTCTTCAGGTGACACTGGGCCCAGAGGGAGGCCCAGGAACCGGAAGATGTCTGTGAAACTCAGGATGGGACAAATTAAATGGGTTGTGGGAGGGAGGAGTTGCCTCTCCAATTCATTTTGTTTCCTGTGGGAATCCATGGGTGGCTGGTCCCTGTGCCAGGGAGCGCTAGGTGTTGTCTCCCTGTGGGGCTGGGAAATGCTCAGAGCTACCTGTCCTCTTTGTTTAGCTTCTAGCAGAGCCACCTGTGGGTTTGCTTGACCCTGGCAGCCCTGCGCCATGCAGAGGTGAGTTCGCTCCAGAGAGGGCAGGGCCTCTGTTCTGGGGACTTTGGCTAATGGTGATGCCTGGGTCTTCTGACCGCTTCACACTTGGCCAGGGTCAGTGTATGGCCTTCTCTGTCTGCCTCTCAGTTATGTTGTCGCTGTCGCTGTGCTGGGTTTCTGCATTGATGTCCCTGTTTCTGTCTCCCATTCATAATCCTCATGGGAGGGAGGATGTCTTGTTTGGCCCGATTTTATTTTCCTGTAGTTCTGAAGGAACCATGCTTTTCTTTTTGCTATTCCTGAAGTTTCCAGTGCTGAAAGTGCTCTAACCCATAGATTATGGCAGCGTGAGGGTGGACCTGAACCGCCTGGACTAGATCACAAAATGTAGCTTCAGGTTCTTTAGAACAACTGTTAATGTTCCTGGGACCTGCCTACTTCTGACGGTGGGATTGGATATCCGTCTCCTCTACCTCCCAGGCCTGCCCTCCCTGTTCCATGGGCTGGAGGGAGGGTTGCCCTACCTGCAGCTCACTTATCCCCAGACCCAGCCAGGGCTGAGTGCTCCAGAGAAATACAGTGTCTTTTCCCCAGCATGGTGCCAGGTTCTGCTGCCCCACTGTCCTACGGAGCAGTGCTTTGTTCCACGTGTGCCTGCAGCGCTGACACTTGGAGCACGCAGCAGCTCCCACTGTAAGGGAGGCCTCTGCTCTACGTTTTTAGATTGGGCTTGAAACCAGAGCCCACTCAGTCAGTTATACCTCCTGGCTGGTGCTCTTTAAACCACCTGCGGTATAAAGTCATCTGTGCTTGCAAAGGAAGAGAAGAGGAACATTCGCAGTCCATGCTGTTCTCAGCCAGGTAGACTGTAGCTGAAATCACAGACCCAGTGGATACAGTGCTGCCTACTGGTCACCTGAGATGCGTGGTCTGCCTGAGCTCTGCCTTAGGACCTGGCAAATCAGGCAGTTTCAAAGAATCAAGGAAATTTGAGTTGAGACTTCCAGAGGCCGAACAGACTGTATAGATGTAATTGAATTTGAAATGAGGCTTTGGGAGGAGTAGAAACTCCTCTCTGCACAAGGCTAGATGGGCAAGAGCAAAGTAAATCCTGTGCCTGTCATTGAGAGCTGCACACACTGAAAGTGTAGGAAAAGAAGAAAACGTCACTGGAGGCTTACCACTTTGTCTCAGAAAAACTGCTGGTGTTAAAAAGTAGAGAAGCCCAAAAGGCAGAACATTCTGTTAAAGATGATACTGCTAACCTAATTTACTCTTACTATAATGTGCATGTGTGCATACATATACAGCTTTTTGTTCCTGTTGCAGACCTTTGAAAAGCATTATTTTTTAAAGCAAGATGATGGAAATTAGAAGTATACTTTTGAAGTATATTTTTTCCTACAGCCTTTGCAACAGCTAAAATTCTTTCCTTCCATCCTATCCTTTTGTTTTTAAAAAAGTAATTTTAAACATGCATTCTCAGACCAGCCCATAGTCTGACATACCAAGGCAGTGTATAAATATACACTCATCTAGATGTGTTATATAATCACCTGTTAAAAATAAATGAAGCTTTTCTAAAGAAAACCTAGGCACTGAGCTTTTCAAGTGGAGGTTGTCCCTGATGGGAAGTTCTGAAAATAATTTTCAATCCAAGTGAGGAGGGAAGGACATTTCAGGGTTGTTAGATGGTTATTTTCTGTGCAGGAATTGGCCAGCACATTGGCCAGCAGTAATTGTTTTGCTCCACATGTCTATTTACTGACGGCCATTCCTCTGGCCATACAGCCCTCCAGTCACTTGTGATGGTTCTTGCCTAAGCTGTGGTAGATACAGGAATATCCAGTGCAAACCTGCACACTAGAGCCAAGTTATCATGTCCTTGGGGACCTTCTCTATTTACCTTCTGCTCCACAAACTTTGGAGCTCTTAGAAAGCCCTGAGCTCATGTCATAAGATGTGAGACAGGGCCAGGGATTAGCTTGGCCCCATGCAGGTCACTTGGGCCTCTGCAGGAACTGCAGTGAGCATCAGTCAGTGCTGAGGGTATTTTGAGCAGAGGTTACCCTGGCCAGAAGAGCACAAGGACATCTTGTGTTGCAATAGCCAACTACATGTTGTTGGAAAGTAGAGTTTGACCTGGCTGCAGAGGGGTAACTCTCTCTGCCTGTGGTGGCACCTGTGAAAAGAAGGGGTGTCTTTCCGCTTTCCATCACAGAATAAACCCTTGGTCAGTTTTGCTGCATGCATGACATTGCTTTTTAAATAAAGCCTTCTCTCTGCGTTAATCTGAGCTGCGGGATCCCAGCCCTGACACTGAAGAGGACGGTTTATTTGTGGGGGGGGGAGGGGTTGCTTATTTTTTTTCCAGAATATGCAGTTAATCTGTGGATTGCCTTGCTGCAGGACATTGGGGATGCCAGGAGTTTGCATAGTCTTGAGGGGACAAATTCATGGAGGGCTGACAAGTTTGCATTGAGCTGCAAACTGATAAAGGCTGGGGGACTTCCTTGGGTATTGGCTTTCACCCCGTGCTGACATTGGATATTGGGCTCGAAGGACCTTTTTAACCACTAACCAATAACCGTCATTACCTCCATATCCTGCCGCTAAGCCCTTGCATGCAAAAATGCTGGTGCACAGCAAAGCCGCTCTCTGCACTCCTGTGTCCTGTCATGCAGCCCCAGAAAGAGGCATTTCCGGAGAGGTTGCCTGTGTGTTGGGTTAATGTTTATCACAGGCTCTGGCTTCTCTTCCAGTGCCGAGGGGGAAGGACAGAGCTGAAGTGCTGATTGACCAGGCATTGACCACGATGGGGTGGACAACCCCCTGCAGCAGGAGCTGTCCCACAAACTGAGCTTTTCCTCACTCACTGCCAACCTGCTGCCTCCATGGCAGACTTATTTAAGGCCTCGTGCTGGCTCTCTGCCCCATCACCTTGCTTCAGGGAGATGCCAGCCTCTGAGCCAAAGCTATCTGCCTGATTCTCTGGTGTTAAGAGCTCTCTGCAGAACGTTAGCTCTGTTTTGCCCAGGGAAATTTCAGGTGCAAAAAGGCAAATGGCTTTCTAGGGTACACCAGTGCCATAGTGGCAGCGCTGAGGCAATTTAACCCCCTCCACCCCCTCTCAGTTCAGTGAGAGGCTGTGGGCTGCACTTAGAAACAAAAGCGTGAGAATACCCTCACGCACTTTCTGCTCAGGCTTAGCAGCTTGTCAAAGAGGAAAACAGCACACCACATTAGCAAGTGGAAGACAAAAGTACTAACTGTAGCAAGCACATTTGGGATGAGGGGTCCCCTATCCCGCTGCAGCCAGATGTTCACTTTGGACGCACAGTCCAGCACCAGTGATAAAAAGTCCTGATTTCTTGCTCTTATTAACCAATGGCTTCCTGCCAGGTGCAAAGGTTGGCACTGAGATTCCAGCTGGTGGATCAATATCTGCTCTGGTTGTAAGTTTAATTTTTGTAATACAAACCTCTTTGCCACATTCTGGTGCCAAGCTGGCAGGAAGCTTGGAGACTTCAGGCAAAGTACAAGTTGACATAGCCACACAGAGGACTCCCAGTACATTTCAAAGTCCCTTCAGAAAAAGTAATACAGGCTCAACATCAGAGTCCCCTACTTAAAGTTATGCCTTAATTTTTCTTTTTAAAGTGATTCTGTTAGCACAAAAGTACTGTAACATTTTGCAGGGAGGAAAAATTACAAAAGGAAATTAAAACCAGCTGTCATTTTTTGCTTTAGCTTCCAATAATTTAATATTTTCAACATGATGGAAACCCTTGCACATGAAGGGGGAATGCCAATGCCATAAACTCTGGAAAGACTTCCAGTTTTGACCCTGTTATCGCAACAGTGTTTTAAATGTCTCTAAAGCTGGCCAGCATTGAGAGGGCCCAGCTTCTGCCCTACCTCTTACCACCTGCCACTGCACACATTACACAGTCAGCAATCTTGAAATCTGAAGGGCTGGAAATAACTATGGCAAAACTAAGGACATTCTCATTAAATGTGACAGTAATTGGGTATAACTAAATAGAGGCTTCCTCCAAGTGGCAGTCTAATCTGACCCCAGCCAGCCTTTGGGAGGTATACGTATACCACTACTACAAGTGACCCAAGAAGGGCTCCATCCAAACCAACCACAGCCAGGCACGTCAGGCCCCTTCTCCTCAGCAGGCTGGGATCATGCACTGTATGATGCTTGCTGCAGCAGCTTCTCTTCAGGGCAGATGTACTGGGCCATGTGCTAGCATAGCACAGCCTTAAGAGTATGCCTGCTTGATGATACTTCCTCTGCAAACTGGCTATGGCCACAGGGCCTGGCATCCTAGGGTTATGGGAGGCATCACCACGCAGAAAGCAGTTTCTCTTCTGTCTCTTTTCATCTGCTTCTGCAACTGAGCCCTACAAGGCAGGACCCTGCTCCATGGGAACTGCACCCAGCTACGTATGGGGTGCAGCCATATGGATAACACGCACATGACTACGCTGAGGTAGCTCCTGCAATGCAGAGCAGCCACAGTGCTTTCCAGCTCTCTTCTTTGTGGCTGCTTGCAGCAGGCTGTACTGCTATGTGTCATTTCTAGCTATCAGTGGACCTACAATGGTGAACAACATGCTGTTGTCAAGCTCCCTTTCATACGAGCTCTTCTGGCTGTTGTGGTGTTCTTTCACCTGTCATTAATTTTGGACAATCTGTGGGTAGAAGCCTAACGATCACATTACCCTGCTTTTAGCCTGATTTCTGATGCTTAGGGATATGAGGCAAGAGAGAGCTCCAGGGCACATTGCTCCAACTTTTGCTTTTGGATTGCAACAGAAAGAGCAAACAACAGCATTTTCTTTGGGGCTGCTGGAGGCTATCTTTAGAGAGCACAACAAGTGCTGTGTGAGGGTGCTCTGTGGATGGGGCTAGTCATGCTGCCAAATCAGGTTAGGAGAGTTGTGCTGGGGAACAGTGCCGCAGGGTCAC